AACAATGTTGGAAGCACATCTCACACGCTCTGGGTGTGTCCATGTTAGCTGAGTACCGCTCGCCCTCATACATGACGGATGTGTGGAGAACTCAAGCCTATTGCCACGGTATTTCTAAGCTCCCTTCTTCCTGCTTCTATCTGGAACGGCAATTACACTGTGGGGATTGCCTCAGAGATAACTACAAAAGCATATTTTAAACGAGAGCATCCTAGGAGAAAAAAGAGAGAGAAAAAAAGAGAAAGTCAAGCGTGAAGTTACGGCACTGATTATTACTTATATCTGAGGTCAATCCTCAGGTCTTCTTCATTTTTGACCTCCAGCTTTCTCCTGGACTCCAGATTCATGAACACCTTTACTTGGCTGTCCCACGACCAACTCAACAGGGACAAACGCATCCTCATTGTCCCCTATGCCTTCCCAAGCCAACAAGTGCTCCTTAATGGTGCCAGAGAAAATACATGGTCCAGTGGAGAGCCCAAGCAGAAGGAACCAAGCCCTGGTGGCACCTCCCTTGTTCACTGTCACCGGATCTTGCCTCTTCAAGCTTTCTTGCCTCGAACCAGCTCCATCCATCTGTCGGCGAAACCTTCATCAACCACCTTGGGCCCCTAACAGACTTTCTTGCCTTCGGTCTGCCAGTAATTCTGCCAATCTTTCTTTCCATTCTGCCATCAGAGAGCCTTTCTAAAGCACAGGACCGAACAATGCCATTCCCCTGTATGAAAACTTCCCATAGCTTCCAATTTTCAGTAAGAGAGAGTCAAACCTCGTTAGTACCAAAAGGTTTCATCCAACCTTTCTCTTCTATACTCGTTCTTAGAGAGTTAGATATCATTTCTTTAGTGAAATGGTCTCCAACGAGTTAAAACTAACCATGGCCTTCCGAGGCTCCAGTGGTATTTTGTACATACCTCCTACGGTAGCAATTATATTAAAGCATAAGTATTTTCACATCTTGTAAACACCCTACCTTTTGAGTAGAATTTATATGCCGAAGAATATGTTTTATTCAACCTATATCCTCATACCCTAACAGTTTCTGCACACAGAAGGTGGTTAATAAATGTTTGCTGAGTGAATGAATACATGAATGAATGAATCGTTTTTGGAAAGTCTAGTCTATGTAAGATGATGTGTGAAGCTCTATGGGGTTAGAAAGGAGATACAAGAAACATTCCCCACCCACGAGAGCTCTTATAATCTACATAATAAATACCATGGCCTATATTTGAAGAAATAATATCAAACATAATAATATTTTTCATCTAAAGATAATAATACATAAAACTGTATTATTAGATATACTGATATTGAACTATCTTTGCATTTCTCGGATAAGTACCATTTGGTCATAAAGTATTTTCAAAAATATGTGCTGGACATGATTTGTAAATATTTTACTTAGGATTTTTGCCACTATGTTCATAATTGAAGCTAGTCTATAATATTCATGTTGTGGATGTTCTTTTTCTGATTTTCGTAGTTACCCTCTTCTCCCTTAAATTTTTTTTTTAATTCTTAGTAACTATTTGTTCTTTATAGGTTTGGTAAAAGTTACCTGAGAAAATATTTGGGCTTGATATTATTTTGGGGGGTGGGAAGATTTAAAAATCATTTTTCTCTTTTAGAGGGCCAGCGGGCAGGGGAGAGAGAAAAAGGGAGACGGGGAGAAAATCCCAAGCAGTCCCTATGTTCAGCGTGGAGCCCAATGTGGGGCTTGATCCCACAACCCTGGGATCAAGACCTCAGCTGAAATCAAGAGTCAGATGCTCAACTGACTGAGCCGCCCAGGCACCCCCAGAATTTACATTTTTAAGAAATGGTTAGTATTGTTGATAACATTCTTGTGATTCTCAGAATCTCTGTACGGCAATAGTGACATCTATCCTTGTGTTAATACCGTTGCTTGGGAATTCTTCTTTCTTCTTGATTAGATTTAGGTTTTGTTCGTTTTATTAATATTTTCAAAGAACCACCTTTTGGCTTAAATGATTCTCTCCATCCTTTTGGCCTTCCTTCTCATTAGTTTCTGCTCATCTATTAAAATCTTCATTTCTGAGAGAGGTATATTTAAATCTCCCTCTCTGGTTGTGAATTTGTCAGTTTATCGTAACTGTTTTGATTATTGCTTCACATGTTTTGAGGCTATTTCACTGGTATATGTAGTTTCACAAGTATTTTTCCATCCTTTCGAATTGCTCCTTTTATCGTTAAGCAATCAGTCCCTTTATCCATAATAATGTCTTTTTTTGGCCTTATGATCTAGGTTGCCTGATGTTAATACTACGACAGTAGCTTTCTTTGGGTTAATATCTGTCTACTATATATTTTCCATTCCTTTCAGAACCATGTTGTATTTTGAGTGTGAATCTTGTAAAAATTATGTAGCTGGATTTCATTTTAAGTTCTAAGCAGATAATCTGTTTTTACTTTAACAAACAGATTCAGTCTATTTACATATAATTAGAGTAATATGTTGACTCATTTTTAGCTAATTATTTTGTGTTTTATATTTACTCTGCTTTTCAAATCCTTTTCCTTCTTTCCTGCCCTCCACTGAGCTGATATACTATTTTTGTGACCATCTATTGTTTGGAATTATACATTCTGCTTTCCTATTCTTTTAGCGGTTATACTTAAATTAGCAAGATACATATTTATCAAAATCTCAAGTTAATCAGTGTCTCTATTATTCGCCAGTACAATACAAATTCTTAAACTCTTTTAAATGTTTGCTCATCTTGTCTTAAAACATCCAAATTTAGTCATTATTGTTGTAATTATTATCTTAAATAGCTTACTGAGATTTACTCACATGCAGTGGCTTTGTTTCCTATTGCCTCTAACGGCCTATCCTTGGCTCTTGTGTTCTATTTCTTTCTTACTGCAATATTCTTTGTTAGTTTTTCCTTGGTAGATACTCCTGGTGAGAATCTGAGAGCAGCACATTCTCTTTCTTTGTGTGCAAATGTATTTTCCTATGATTTTTGTAATTTTCCCATGGCTCTCTGAATTCTAATTTTGTAGTTGCTAACGAGAAGTCTGTTGTCGGTGCAATTGTCATTTTGCACAAGTGTCTCTTTTCTCTCAGGTGGTGTTACGATTTCGTCTTTAGGGGTCTGCCGTTGTACTACAAGCCATCCTGGAGTGAGTCTGCTTTTTGTTCTTCCTACTTGGGGTGCATATCTTTCTCCAGTTCCAGAACATTCTCATCACACCGTTTAAACATTACTTCTTTCCCATTTTCTTTCTTTCTTTCTGTATTTTCACTCTGGAATTTCTATCAGGCCTATTCTGTTCTCTTTAAAATATTTACAAATTCCCCTGATTTTTGTATTGTCTTGCATTCCCTGAGGTGCTGATTCTCTTGTTCCCCTTGTCCACTGACGCTCACTCACCGTGGCTTTTCTCACTGTGTGTTTTGCAATTTTGATTTGGGGCTCATTGCTAATATTTTTATTATTCTTTGATTTTGGCATGGGCATCTCATGTGATCGCGGCTGTAGACATATCTCTATTTCTACTATTTTGGCTTGGCTTCAGCTTGGGCCCAGGGGATCCAGGATTACTGATTTGGGACCAGTTTGGATGTTAATGTATTGACCGGGAATTGCATTTCTATGTAGGCGTCAGACACCAGTCGACTCCACTGCAAACATACGCTTATAAGGCTAGCTGGGCTCTCAATTCTCTTTTTCTTATGAACTATTTCTTCAATCCAGGATACCCTGAGACAGTTCTCTCTGTTGTCCCTTCTCCAGACTAGACATTCTTGTTCTTTCCCACAGAGGAAGCCGCTTCCTGGGGGCCCAGCTTTTGCAAAACCTCTCAGTTGTAGACACCCACTTCTCTTGTCCCCGGTCCCAAGCACCAGTCCCTCTCTCGGGACCTGAGTAGCCCTTTGAGGTCCCATGACCCCAACTCACCAGTTTACTGCTCTGAGCCTATACCCCTTCTTTGTCTTTGCCTCTTGGGGATTTCTTGGACTCTCCTCTAAACTTGACGAGGTAGTAACACAAGTTCATACATGGTTATATTATATCCAGGACTCCTATGTGCTTTCTGCAGGCTGGAAGGTCAGTGTCGGGTCATTCTACCAAATTGCTGGGGGTCTGAAGGCATCAGTTTGTAAGTGCCACATGCACACAAGTGATAGAGAAAGGGGGAAACCTGGCAGGTCGACGACGGCTGCTTGACGACACTTCAACTGCAAATGTAAAGCCTTCCTCTAAGCTAATTCTTGTTAAAACAAATATCCACAGCTTTTTGGAAAAAAAAAACAAACTAGCTTTCCTAGTCCTCAGAGGGCAGCAACTCTTTTTAAATGCCCATGTTCACGCGGGCTGAGCACACAGAAAACACAGCAAACACTTGTTAAAGGAACAAATAAAATTAGCATCTTTTCCAAGATACACATAAAACTTTGAATACCGGGAAAGCTAAAAGTGATAAATGTCATATGATGGTAACCACCATAATATAGGATCATAAGTGTTTATGGTGGATTCATCATTCATATAGATAAATGGCTTATACATTTATTTCTGGTGGACACGCCTATAATAGGTAGGTTACGTTTATAATAGGCAGGATACGTTTATAGGTTAAGCAGAGTCAGTTTTACTTCGAATTGTTTTTAAGGGACTTAAAGTATAACACAGCTAAATTCAGCCCAGGGACAATTGCTTTCCAAGCCATCTTGAAACGTGGCTAGGTTTTCTAGAAAGGATTTGCCCAACCGAGCATCCCCTAGTGGTTGGAAGGTGGTTTCGAGGTCAGCCACATCTCCAAGGACGATCCTGGCACAAAGCTGGCCAAGGCCAAGTTCTCCTGGAGTTATAACGGAATGCCTAAGGCCTACGTGATGCATAGGTGCCTCGTGGTCCCTAAGTGAAGCCTCTGGGCATGTGGCTTCACTTAGGATAAAACAGCTACAAAGTTCAAGCACAGACATGACGGCGTGCGTGGTGTTGTGGTGGCCTTGCCGCCGGACTTACCGTGTAATTTCGAGTGAGGGAGACATCGGTGCCATCCAGCAGATAATGGGTTTCTGTGAAGCTGTTAGCGATGAGGCCTCTGTGGAAAAAGAAAGACAAACGAGATAAAAGGATGAGTGGAGAAGCGTACGGACATGTTGCGAACAAGGCAGCCAGCAGCTGACCTGCCCTTATGTGACAGGTGACCCCGTGAGGCTCCCAAAGGACCTTCCACCTATTCGGGAAGCAGTCAGGAGGAGACCCAGACAGGCAGGACTCAGACACGTGGGCCTTGAACAACAGCTCCCACGGTACACGTGGAGCCCTCACCCATCCCCCCTCACCTCCTTCTTCTAGCACACTCCAGGCGTGTGCGCCCAGGGACCCAGGCCCCCACGTGCACGTGCACGTGGGGACACACACACAGGCACACGCTCTTCCACGGACGGCATATGCCGATTTGCAAGCTGGGAGAGTTATCTGCCTGGCAGTCACAAAGGCCCCCGCCATCTAGAAGCAGGGGCGAAGCCACCTGTTGGGACAATAATTCTGGATCCAGGATATCACCCCTGCGGGGACACCCTCCGGTGAGAGAACCAGCTATCAATATTAACATGTCAAAGAAGCGTCTGGGACAACAGCAAACTGTTCAAAGCAGTGGTGTGGGAGGGGAGGAAAGTGCATTCCATTCGGAATGCAGTAATGGAATGCTGTGGAAGGAGAACTTCACACAGGAAGCCTGCAGATGGAACAACAGCCGGCCGGACAGAGCAAGGTGGGAGCAGAAGGGAATTCTGGGCAGACGATGGCGAGGCCAGGAGATCTGAGCCGTGAAATCTGGGGAGCCAAGCTGGTGTCAGAGGGGAGAGAGTCCTACACGGAGCCTGCGTTGTATCTGCCTGGGCAACGTGTCGTTGACTATTTTATTTTATTATTACTTTTTAAACTCAGTTTAATGACATTTAGTTATTTATTTTGAGGGAGAGAAGGAGAGTGGGCGGGGCATGGGGGAGGGGCAGAGGGAGAGAGAGAGAGAGAGAGTGAGAATCGCCAGCAGGCTTCACGCCCAGCGAGGAGCCCGAGGGGGGCCTCATTCTCACAACTGTGAGATCACAACCTCAGCCAGATCAAGAGTCAGATGCTCGGGGCACCTGGGTGGCTGAGTTGGCCGAGCGTCCGATGTTTGATTTCGGCTCAGGTCATGATCCCGGGGATGTGGGATC